TGATTAATAAAACATTTAATTCTAACTCATTCAACTTAATACTCCTATAATGATGGGAAAAAAATTGTTGTCACCATTTCTGAAACAAGCTTGCAATTAGGCAATATACACATCATGCTTATCCTTACTATATATTAATAACTATGTTTGGCAGTAAATGTGATTAATTTATGGTGTAATTCTGAACCTCTTGGCTTGTCATAATCCTAACCAAACGTATATTACACATGGAGCGTTTCCTATGCGCGTAAAAACTAATTTTCGCATATAAATGGCACGATAAACGCACTGCGTGCGAGACGCATTTAGTGTGACGGGTTGATATATCAACGTCACTGGTGAGACAAACGTGCAACGGACGGACGGTCAGGTTACGTTTTGGCAGGGGAAAAAATGATCAGAAAATGTAATGGAAATGTAACAGAAGTTGTAGAAATGTAGTGGAGTAGAAAGTATAATAATCATTGCAAAATGTAACGAAGTAAAAGTAAAAAGTATGCACTATTTATTCTACTTAAGCAAAGTAAAGATACGTGAAAATGTACTTAAGTAAAGTAACAAAGTATTTGTACTTCGTTACAGTCCACCACTGCTAGAGGAACTGACTATGGATTGCCAAATGGTTCGATAATGGTTTGTGGTGGACATGTTTCTAAAATTGTATTTTATTTGGGAGACTGATTGGTAAATTGTGTAGAGTGATTGGCATGTTGCAGGCCAGACTCAAATCATATCATCCACATGAAAACTGTGGCTTAAAGGAGTAGTTCAGTTTTGAAAAAAACTTTTGCTGATAATTTACTCACCCCCATGTCATCCAAGATGTCCATGTCTTTCTTTCTTCAGTCGAACAGAAATTAAGGTTTTTGATGAATTTTTCTCTATATAATGGACTTCAATGGGAACCAAACGGTTCAAGGTCCAAATGAGAGTTTCAGTGCAGCTTCAAAGGACTTTAAACGATTCCAGACGATGAATAAGGGTCTTATCAAGCGAAACGATCGCTCATTTAAAAAATAAATTAAAAAAAATTACGTTTTATAAGCTCAAATGCTCGCCTTGCTCTGTTCTGTGATGAGCGTTCGTGACTCTCCTGTTCGAACTCGTTTATCAAAATGAACGAATCTTTTCCTGAGTCAACGCGTTCATTTCGTTCGTTGAATGAACCAAATGACACAAAAAAACAGAGCAAGGCGAGCATTTGAGCTTATAAAACTTAAACTTTTTTTTTAATAAGCGATCGTTTCGCTTTATAAGACCCTTATTCATCGTCTGGAATCGTTTAAAGCCCTTTGGAGCTGCACTGAAACTCTCATTTGGACCTTGAACCGTTTGGTTCCCATTGAAGTCCATTATAAGGAGAAAAATGCTGGAATGTTTTCATTAAAAGCCTTAATTTCTTTTCGACTGAGGAAAGAAAGACATGGACATCTTGGATGACACGGGCCGGGGGTGAGTGAATTATCAGCAAAAGTTTTTTTAAAAGTGAACTACTCCTTTAAATGAATAGTTCACATATTCCCTGGTCACCGTGAACGGTCAACAACGGCACAAGCTGCATTACTATTTAAAAAATTTGCATTCCACAGTAGATAAATTCTCAAGTAACTCTCATCCAGAAGTGTTTGGACAAGTTAAGAGTGGCTAAGGAGTATGTAACGAAGTGCTTGTGAGTACGCGCTTATGTCCAAAGCTTCTGTATTTAGTCCCAAACCCTCAGTTCAGCTAATGGGAATCCATCCCACGTAATGACCCACAGTTCCTGTCGGTAATGAGATGTGGGAATTGCCCGTCCGTTCGACCAGATGATGCTGTATTAACGTGACTGGGCCGAGCAGGATGGACTGAGGGCTGCCTGAAGCCCCAATGCCCCGCCTCATTTTTCATCCGGCCGACACCAAAGCTGGCGTGAAGGTCCGAAGGGGGATTGATTTCAAATGAGCCTCAAAATGACGTCTAATGAAAGCCCATGAAGACGTGGGGCTCTCCACCCCAAAACAGTCGAATGAGCCACGATCTATCGAGGATAAACTCTTGGCTACTCACCCTCATCTACGAAATTGTCAGACAAATGTATTGGTCAACGCGTATCATCTAAGCTACATTTCCCAAAAGTGTGGTGCATGAGAGTCTCCTGAGCCCCCATCTTCGGTGGCGCTCATTGATATGTAAACGCAGGGCGATATCAAAGAGACATCTTTTCAGGCTTTCTGTGAAGCGAGCACTACTTATGATCAAAGGATAGTCGCCGTAAACCGTTCAAAGAGAACAGAGTTCTCTGATGGCCATTAATGTGTGTCTGTGATAAGGGTAAGTGAAAGACTGTGCCATCTTATGCAGCACAAAAGGCCCGTGAGAAACACAATATAGGACTCAGTTAGCGAGGCTGATGAGATGTTGAATATTCAGCTGGAGGTGAAGGTATAAATATATGACATTCATTATTGAGAGGCCTCTGCAAGAATAGTTACTTATTTACCAAAGCAAAGAGATCCGGAAGCTCACCTGGGGTTTTACTAGAGCCAGACCGATATATCGGCAGACCGATATTATCGGCCGATATTAGGCGTTTTCCAAACTATCGGTATCGGCAGTTATAATGGTCGATAAATTAATATTTCAAAAATAAAATAAAAACGGACGAAACACGCTTGAACCATGTCATGGGTTTTGGAGTTGTATAGTTTGTCCACCAGAGGGCACTCTACACCAACACTCGTTGAGTTGGTCACGAGACATACATTGCTTGAATAACAATTAAAAGAACATCCCCATCAGTTCTCTTACCTCAAATAAGCAGGACAAAATTTGTGACTAATCATCTCTATTTTAAAAAAAATAAATAAATAAAATATCGGCCGATATATCGGATTTTAAAACCCAAAAATATTTGTATCGGTATCAGCCTTCAAAATCCTTTATCGGTCGGGCTCTAGTTTTTACGATGCATCTTTTGTTCCCATTTTTGTCACTTGGTGTTCACCAGGGCTCTATCCTTAGTCCGCTCTAACTTTTCCTTGTTCGGTAAAATGAACGCATCTCTCGTAAAACTACTATGCAGTTGTTCTCACACAGATATCATCAAATAAGTTTGCAATTATTCCGAATTAAGGCTAACATTTTTAACCCCATGCATGAGAATATTTCTATGTACACTGTTATTAGTGAATAAAACTCTTCTCAAGTCAAGTCAAGTCCATTTATATAGTGCTTTTCACAATATAGCTTCACAGTCTCAATCAGAACATACAGTAATAACAATGTGGAAAAACATCCACGTTTGGTAGAGCTGATCAATGGTGTTACTGATTGGTTAACTAAGTCTTCTGCTAAATTTACTTTAGTTTTATATCAGTGTTGAAATGTATTTTTGCTGTAGCTTTCGCTCCTGTCAAAGCAGTACATCTCCTTCAACCTTCTACCTACTTCTCACAGCAATTAACACTTCATTAAAAGAGCTCTTTAATCATTTTCACTTTCAATTCAAACACTTTTACGTCGGGCCTCTTGTGGATTGCTCTCTCATTGTTCAGGGAGGGAATTAATGACTTAAATTTTATATGTTTTTCCCCCTTGATCGCACTTCTTCATTATTACTTCTTTGTTATTCCGTGTAAATAGATTTTTTGCACCCCAAACTCAAAGCCCGATGCTCTCCTGTGGGGCTTCGAGCGGAGGTGTTTTCATAAACTTTTGTGTCTTCCAAGTCATCATAACATTATAACACATCATCATAACATAACTCTCCGATAGAGCTGTTTGCGAGCGAGTCTCTCTACTTAATGAGATTTCCCATTGCTCCACGTTGAATCTATCCGACTGACCAGGGATGGACGTTAGCGATTAGATGCGGCGTATTGCATTAGGTGCAACATGAAACAGTAGCATATTTGGGGAAGTGCTTTCCAAAGTATGCTTCATTGCAATAGGAAATGTGTCATAATGGAATTCAAGATGGTTGACATGGAAGTGAATGCATAGTAGTGAGTTACACTCAGTGGGGTAAGATGTGCCGGTCCCTAAATCGAGTAAACTGTGCATTATTTTGGCCATGTGACCATATATTTAGAATATACGCCACCTCTATACGTTTTGAGAAAAATGTGAACCAAAAAACGTAAATTTTCTACATAACAGGTAAAATTAATTTTCTGCCAAAGCAAATTTAAATCCAGATCTAAAAAAAATATATATATCAGACATTTTATAAATATATTGGCTAAACTTTAGCCATGAATTAAGTGAAACCATTTTCCCAAAATGGTAGCTATGGGGTAAAGTGGGCCAGATGCTTTGGGGTAAACTGTGCCATTTGCTCAATTAGTTATAGTAAAATAATATTGGTTAATTGTCCATTAATAAATGTTTTTGCTCTCATGTTCATATTTTAATTTAAAACAAAAAATTAAGTGGCTTTAAGTACCATGTACTTACATTGAAATTAATAATTTGATACAATAGACTTATTGTGTACATACATGTTTTTACATTGTACTTATATTTTAAAAATACCAGCATGTAATTACAGATGTAATTAATTTTTGCAACTACATCTGTAATTACACAGATGACCCATCCCTTACACTTAAACCTACCCATACCACCACACCTGTCCCTAACCTTACCCGTATCTCACCTCAATAACAGCAAAAGTGTTTTACAATACAACATGAGCACAATAAGTACATTGTACTTATTTTTAAATGTAAGTACATAGTACTTAAAGCCACTTAATATAAAGTGGGACCAAAAAGGTCAATTCAAATGTTCACATTTCCCCCGATTATTCAACTTGTATGATTGGACTTTTTTAAGATGTCATATATTTTATGGCCTTAAGTAATAGATGCTTTCTTTAAAGTGAGTTGGTAGCACACATCCTGAAATCTTAGTTCTACCTAATCTCTCCTTGCATAGCAGAGGATGATTTGAGCGTGGCACAGCTTACCCCCACTCTCCTATAGTCCTCAGGGTTTGTGTATACGTGTTGTTACCTGCTTGCATCGCATCGCCCAGCGCAGATCGTTCTCATACGGAGATCCACACAGATGTCGCATCGCCGCGGCGGCTGAGACTGATGTATAGCAGTGAAGGTTGTCCTCCTCAGGGGGCTGGAGCTGGTGTGTGAGGTGTGTGTGGGGACATCTGTGCGGAGCGGGGAGGGCGGCCGGAGGGGTGTCTGGCACAGTGTAGATGGATCAGCGGGCGCACCTCAAAGCATTGAAAACACGCTGCCACTCACGGACGCATGCACGCATCAGCCTCCTGATCGGAAAACCTGTATGATAGACACACATCATGTCACTCTCAACACTGCAAACTAGGGCTGGGTATTGACACAAAATTCACAATTCGATTCAATTCCGATTCGATTCAATATTGATATCAGTTGCAATAAATGGCAAATTTTATCAAGGAAATTAAATCTCTTAACTAATGCTGTAAACTATAGGAGTCTAGTTGTAGCCTATAGGCTTCATTACCCTAATATGAAGGTAATAATCAACTGTTTTGTTGCTATACAAACACTTAAATTACACTTTTATTTATTTTTATATTAATAAGATTATATGAAATATAAACATTTAAATGGTGGCTGTCATAAAAACTTGCCAGATTTATTCAAATATGCATTAAATATTGAAGAACATTAAGATTATAATGCATATGTAATATGGTGTATATATTTAGCAAAATGCTCCTCCCTAGAGTTATTTTTTTGTAGCTGACTAACGAGTTGGTAAATATGACGATACATTGATTACAAGCCGTTTAACTGACGTCTTTCCACGGTTGAAACGCTGATTGAGCGAATCAATGTGACATGATGTGGATTAATCGCGAATTTTATAATCGTTTAACACTAATAATATTAAATTTGCAATTTATTTGCAATTTTGTGCACATTTGTCATAAAATCATATTATATTATTCATTTTTATTTATTTATATTTATAAAATAATATAAAATATATTATATTGGATATATATCCGAGAACTCGTGTGTGAAGGTCACCTGTTTACACCTATAAGCTGAAATCCACACCGGCGAGATGAACGATAAGACAGTAACCTGTGCTGTGTGTGTCAGCCCAGCGTATTTGTCATTAGCTTGAATTTGCATGCACCTTGTTGAGCACAGGGTGACGTGGCGGGGGGGATGCTGGGAAGGGGTGAGGGCGGGGGGCTTGAGTTTGGCCAAAAGCACAGCTGTACTGCCTGCCGTACTGATTGCCTCTCCTTCTCTCGCCCTCATTTATCTTCATTTCTTCCCAATTACACCAAATTAGCAATAGTCTCAGTTGCATTACCAACTTAATCCCCCCTTTTTTTTGCGGGCTGCATTATGCGGTGGCAGATGATTCCTTGGCGGGAGTCAGGGTAAACAGCCATGAAAATGCCACCCCGGCAGATGGCGAGGCCCACAAGAAATATGACAAACAGAGTGCCAGCGTGCCGTCCTCTGCCCGTACCCGCTACAAGCTGTTAATGCGCTCCCGGACAGTTTGTGTGTGTGTGTGTGAGACTGTAAGGTTTGCCGGCATAACGATATTAATGAATGCATGTGTGTGTGTGTGTGTGTGTGTCACACAGTATGTTTAGTTTTAAATAGACGGCAGAACCAGTAAACACTGTGAGTTGTGTTGCTATACATGACGAACGGTGAACAACACGTATGGTTTATACGTTTACCATTGACATGCACTAATGTTGCCTTTTACTCAAGACCTAACCTTACACTCTAAAAATTGCTGGGTTGTTTTAACCCAACTTTGGGTCAAGTATGGACAAACCCAGCCATTGGGTTAAAAATTTGTATTACGTTTTTAACCCAACGTTTGGGTTTGTCCATATTTTGACCCAAAGTTGGGTTAAAACAACCCAGCATTTTTAGAGTGTACATATCAAAAACAAATTTTACGGTAACTTGAGTGTTTTTTTTTTTTAAGTAAAATCATACTTTTTTTTTTATTTAAAATAACATCTGATTCACACTCTAAAAAATGCTGGGTTGTTTTAACACAATTTTGGGTCAAATATGGACAAACTCAAACATTGGGTTAAAAATGTAATTTACCCAAAGGCTGAGTTTGTCCATATTTGACCCAAAATTGGGTTAAAACAACCCAGCATTTTTAGAGTGTACATATATCAAAAACAAATTTAACAATTTAATGGTAACTTGAGTGTTTGTTTTTGTTTTTTTTAAAGTAAAATAATATTTTTTTTATTTAAAATAATATCTGATTCACACTATAAAAAATGCTGGGTTGTTTTAACCCAATTTTGGGTCAAATATGGACAAACTCAAACATTGGGTTAAAAATGTAATATACCCAAATAAAAGGCTGAGTTTGTCCATAGATGACCCAAAATTGGGTTAAAACAACCCAGCATTTTTTAGAGTGAATTGAATTGGGTTTTTTTAGTTGAATATGTTCAATTAATTATTTTTACCTGTAACAACTCACCGATTCACCGATCTGAGAACAGCACTCTAAAAAATGTGGGGTTGTTTCAACTCAAATTTGGTTCAAATATGGACAAACCCAAATGTTGGGTTAAAAATGTAATTAAAAATTAACCCAACTTCGACTTTCACTTTCAACTGTAATTTTTTTTATTACATTTTAACCCAAAATTTTGGTTTTGTCCATATTTGACCCAAATTTGGGTTGAAACAACCACGCATTTTTTTAGAGTGTGTGTATTTTGAACTTGTCTGATTCGTAAGGATTGAAGACGAGAGCAAATGTGGATTTGACTAATGGGGCAAAAATTAAGTTACTTCTGATGAATAGCAAATAGTTTTATTTAATAAAACTACTGGAATTATGTTTATAGGGCTGTCGCGGTAACCGCAATATTGTAGTACCGCGCTTCTGACAAGTCAACCGCAGAGGATTGCACGTAACCGCAGCAACCGCGATATTCACGTTTTTTTTTATAAGGCTATAACCTTCTTGTTTTGAACTTAATGCATGTGTATTGAATGTTAAACAAGTTCATAACGATAACAAGACTGTTTATCATGGTGATGTGTAGCCTACAGGCTTCACACAGACAGTGAATGAAAGAGATCGGCAGAGCGCGTCACGCGCTGCGCGTGCAATTACCTGCGTCTGTCTTTGAAGTCGTGAAAAGCTTGTCGTGTCAAAAGGAAAGCGAAAAATTTGTCGCATCATCATTTTAACGTTCTCTTCATGGGTATTTTCCCATAAATCCGCGTCAGCAGCAGCTCTGGTCAGCATCCCACAACACAAGGAAGCCGAAATAAAATCAGTGAGTCACGCATTGAATCAATGAGTCTCTAATAAGTGAAGCATCAGCTTCAGCATTGCCTATGCGACGCATTGCTGCTCAGCTGAGCCTTGAAAAGTTGAATCTCAAAGTTAAAAATAAATAACATCTTGTTGAATCAGCTTTTTTGAACGTGTTCGTTGAATGAACGGTTCAATGACTCGCTCAAAGTCCGTTGTCATAACAATATGAGCGCTGAGTGAAAGTCTTTCATGCGCATATACTGTAGACGCTGTTTAGTTTCGGTTATATTGGTTACTGAAAATGTCCTCGTTTTTGTCTACATCGTAAACATTATTTATATAGCAACAAAAACATAATTAATTAAATAAATAAATAAATAAATAAATAAATAAATAAATAAATGGCGGTAATACCGCATATCGCGCTATTGAGCCACTCAACATTACCGCAAGGGAAATTCCATAACCGCGACAGCCCTATATGTTTATAATTTATATTTTTTTTATTCACTCTAAAAAATGCTGGGTTGTTTTAACCCAGTTTTCGGTCAAATATGGACAAACCCAGCCGTTGGGTTACATTTGTAATTGCATTTTTAACCCAACGTTTGGGTTTGTCGATATTTTGCCCAAAACTGAGTTAAAACAACCCAACAAACACGAATTATATTGAAGTTGTAAATGGCATCATGTTGTTATGAATGGAATGAATGCAACATATCCAACATTGAGCGACATTGTTCGACACGACTGATTTGCTGAAATGAGTCGGGCCATGCTAACAGAGCAACATTGGCCCAATGGAGTTTGGGGTGGGATGTCCCAGAATCCTCTCTGTACTCGAGTGTGAGACGTTCAGCCCAGGATGTTGTTTGGGATGGATTAAACACACTTGCTGATTTTTCACTGACCAAAGGCATAAACATACACACACTGTTTACTGACAGAGCCAACATCAACACATGCGACCACTCAAACGGGGACCTGAAGACCCTAAACCCATCACAGGCCCAAACAACACGGCCGAGATGATGATTCACAGGCCACAAAAAAAGTAATGACCCAGCCCCAAAAAACCCCACCGGGATATTTGTATATCTCTCTGATCAAAGCTTGTTTTGATCGCTGTCGTTTTCTGAAGCATATTTTGTGCTTGCTAATGACGTGAGCCTTTTAAGACACCATACTTTTGACCTCAGTGCTAATGCGCTGGCCAGTGTTCTATTATTCACACACACGCATGTACTCGAGTCTCCAGGCAGTGAACGGTGGGACTCTGTAGGTGAGGTGCCAGATGGTGAGTCTACACTCCACCTCAGTGCTTTAAAGGAAGAGGAAACATAACGTTTCTCCCACACATAAAGGTTAGGACCAAGACCAATATCTTGGCCGATATTTGGCATTTTTGAATTATCGGCATTGGCCGATTAGGTTTTCCTACCTGGATGATGAAGTGTCATACAGTATTTTGACATCACTTAGCAGTTCAGTCAGAAACATTAAGCACTTAAACTTAGAAAGTAAATGTTATGTGGAAAAGTACTACAGCACTTGTCTGTAATATTGTTCATGTTTTTGCGTTAAAAGTTCACTTTGAAATTAATTTTTGGTATGTTTTATCTTACCTCAAGGGCATCCAAGATGTAGCGGTCTTTGTTTCCGCAGTAGTTTCAGTTTTTATATTTTTTAGGGGTGTAACAATATATCGCAATACAAAAATGCAACAATACGTATCGTGGATAGCAGTGTTGGGTGTAACTAATTACTTACTAGTAATTAGTTACTGTAATTTAATTACTTTTCCCTTGAAAATGTACAGTAAGGGATTACTCTTCATTTATCTGTAATTTAATTACAGTTACTTCTGATGTAATTGAGGTAAATACTGTGTAGATCAATCCGATCTCACAGCGATTCGTATGATTTTATGAGGTGTCTAAATATTACGGCCGCATGAATTATTGTAAAATATGTATGAAAAAAGTGTGAAATGTCATGAGATCAGACATAAAAC